TGAGATAGACTTTATGTTAGAACACTAGCAAATATGTGTTAAAGTTTTAAGCATGGGCCCCAAAAGAAAGGCAAATAAATGAAGACAAAGAAGAAAACGAGTGCTGAAAAGAGGACCGGCTCAGATTAATATAAAATGAATTTTTGTTCTTACGAAGTTTCTTTTGAAAATAAAAATTGCCAAATTTTAAGATTATTTACATAATATTTTAAATATTTAACCTCTCCTCAACTTAGGCAAAAGTGTCTCAAAAATCTTCAATAAAATGCTTCACATACCTTCCAATCACTCTTGTTTTCCCTTAATCTTCATTAATTTTAATGAAGAAACTTTTGGCAAAGTTGCTTGTACAAATTACAAGTTAAAAGTCTGATTATAAATACTTAATAAGATTAGTTAAATTGTTATTTTAAAACAAATATAAAAGTCAAAGAGACGTTATATTTTAATTATTAATCATATATCTTTTTAAAGATATCACGTTAAGATTTTCTAAAAAAAAGGAAAAAAGGTACAAAACTAAAATTCATTTCTTAATATAAGACGAACGAAAAGGAGAAAGAAAAGGCAATGATGTGATGATGCAAGCCAAGCGTTAATACACCACCCAAACTTATGGCGTAAACTACTTTCAAGTGCTTCGACTTAACTAATTGCCTGCTTTACCTAATACAGTATCCGGAACCTTCTGGTTGGCCTGCCTGCAAAGCCTTCAGCTATCTACCTTGCTTGGTGCTCTATAAACTTTTGGTCAGTTTTGCCTCCGTCAAAACAATGCCCTGGAACTCTACATCCCATCATTGACCGACAATTCTCTGAACCACTTACTATTGATTTTTTCATTCTCTCCGTTAACACTATATCTGTAAATAAAAAATAAAAAAATATTTAAATTAACAATAAATAATCAATCATTAATTATAAAAATTTATTTAATTTAAAATATAAATATAAAAACTTAATTAAATATAATAAAAAATAATTATTTGTTTAAATTTTTAAAAAATACTTTATATATATACAATATAGTTAATTTCAAGCACTTATTTGAAAAAATATAACCTTCGACGACTATGTTTAATTTCAAGAATAAAAATCACAAAACTAATAATTAATTAGAATTAAACAAATCAGGAAAAATGCGGGCAAGTAAAAGCTCAAAATTAAGGCTTAATTCCTCTAAATTTGTGAATACCCTTTGACAGTAACAAATAGACCATGCTGGCTATAGCACTACAAACTTTAGGTTGACTTCACTGATGATATACATTTCTTCGCAAAATAATATCATGTCAAGTCAATTACCAGGGCTGATGGCTCCTTCCCAAACGTATTCTTCCACGGAATAGATCAAGAAATGTACGACGTCGGAAGTGAGGCATGTCATCTTGACTGAAAGGAAAATAATTCCCATGTGTGAGGCAGTCAGCATATTTCATGACAAAGAGGCCGCAATCCACGGGGCTGTATTGTCAATGAAAAGATTGAAAGTGTAACGAAATACCATTAATAAAATGAAATACTAAAAGCTTCATTAGTTCTC